GAAGATAGCAGAGGCTGCATGTGTAGGCAGGTTTTTAGAATTTGATAAAACCAGGTCCCGGACCTTAAAGCTCTCCACTTTGCCTCTTCCTTTTTCATCTGCATATTCTTTTTGCAGGTCTCGGCTTTCAGCCATCGCATCGAGAACGTGTCGTAGGACACTCAGTCTGGTAGACAAGAAGTCATCGACTTCTTTGCGAGTGGTGAGGAGGCTGACATCAGCTAGCCGTTCGGCTATTCCTCCCCCATTAAGCCCTGAGCCATGGGATGGCTGCGTCAGCGGGACGCGAGGGTAAATTAGCCCATTCGCGTAGAACGGCGTTTAGCCGGTAGACGAATGCACTGCAAGTATTCAGTGCAAACTTTACGAGTGGTAACATGGCGCCTCAGCGCCTCGGTGTCTGCGAAGAACATCTTCGATAACGCGATTCATTCCTTCGGTTTGACCATCAGTCTGCGGATGATCCGCTGTCGACATATCCAGCTTGGTGCCGAGAACTTTTAAGATAGTCGACCAGAATTTGCCGGTGAAACAAGGGTCTCTATCAGAACCAATCGGCTCTGGGAGTCCGTGTTGACGAAAAAAACGATCCACGAACAGCGTTGCCTTACTGACTCCGTCGATGGTATCTGGTACCGCCGCCAAATGAGCCATCTTGCTCAATTGGTCGACAAATACAACGACACCCATGTTGCCCGCCGAATCTTTTGGCAGACCAAACGCAAAGTCCAAACTCATGGACTACCAGCACCCAGTAGGTACCGGTAAGCTGGCAAGCGGCGCAGCCGCATTTTAAGAGGGTTTTACCCGTTGACACGTCTCACACGTGCGCACATAGGTGCTCGTCCATTTGTACAGCTTGGGCCACCAATAGTGGTAACTCACAAAGTTGTACATTTTCGCACGACCGAGATGACCACTGAGTGGCGTGTCGTGAGCCCCATAGAGGATGCGGTATTTCAAATTCTCATAATGAGGAACCACAATTCGTGGTGTATCCGTTGGATCGGTGCTATAATATTGCAAGCCGTTATTCAACGAATATCGGTGCTATCGTGCACGCAGTCTTTGTGACAATTTCTTGTCCGAAATTCCAAACTACTTGCTCCCTAGAGCCCGTGGCAACGCTTCACACATCCCATCACCCGCATACGCGGTGCGGATCAAATCCGTCACAGACAACGTTGCAGTTGTAACATGAGCAAGCTCATAATCTGATCTGCGTGACAACGCATCAGCCAAAGCATTCTGCTTTCTTGGCTTATACTTTACCTCTAAGTTATATTCCGCAAAGAAGGATAGCCATCTAGTCATCCTCTGCGAGAGGTGGGATGACTGAGTCGCAGTGCGTAGTGATGCATGATCTGTATAGATCACAAACGGCTTAGCCAAGCAGGTGTACCCAGGACTTGAGAAGTGCACACTTCATCGCAAGTAGCTCCTTGTCATGGACTGGGTAGTTCTTTTCTGCAGCTTTAAGCTGTCGAGATTAGATCGTGATCACCTGATCTCACCCCTCGGCGTCTGCCTGTAGCAGTGCACAACCGATGGTAAAGTCCGAAGCGTCACAGACGACGCTAAAAGGACGATCAGGGTCTGGCAGCGCCAGCATTGGAGCATGCAGGAGACTGTCTTTGACTCCGTCAGAAGCCTCCTGATGTTCGGCGTTCCAGCACCATTCAACATCCTTCTTAAGGAGATTGGATAATGGTCGGGCCATTTCTGCGTAGTTTACGCTGTACTTGGGCAAGAATTTGGCGAGATCAAGCCACTTACGCAAGCCCTTTTGGTTCTTTGGAAACGGCCAATCTACAATGGCCTTGACCTTAGCGGGGTCAGCTCGAAGGTCACGCCTCCCAATGAAGCATTCTAAAAAGGGAATCTCTTCTGCGCCAAAGATGCACTTGTCTGCATTGCCGTACAGTTTGTTCGTGCGCATGTACTCGAGCACCGCTCTTAAATGGATGATGTGGTTCTCCTCATCTATCCTCCCGTGCTCCGCACGACTATGAACGATAGTGTCGTCAAAGTATGTCTGTGTATACGCCCTGTGGGGCCTGAACAACTGCGTCACAAGTCGATTAAGTGTTGCTGGTGCATTTGACAGCCCTTGGGGCATCATCAGCCACTTCCAGAGCATGCCGCTCGGAGTGCTCACCGCTGTTAGCGGAATATCACTCGCAATTGATAATACCCATCGACCAAGTCGAGTGCACTGTACTTCGTGCATCCCACCATGCTGTTCGGAATGACATCATTTCTAGGAATCGGCGTGTGCGCCGGAATGGTGGCAGC